ATCTTGATTGCATGTTTGATCAATTTCAGATTGAAGAAGTTGGTAGAATTATTCTATTTCATCCTCACTGGCTTTAGTGGTTGGTGCATAAATTTGAATAATAGTGCTATTAACTGGGCTTCCCTGTAGGCACGGGGATATTATCCTATCACAAACAGCGTTGTACCTCATGACTTATCTGGATATGTTCTTTTTGACAATGAATGCAACACCATTCCTCTTCAATTTGTCATTCCTGGCATAGTATACCATATGGTTGTCAGATTCAAAATGGCCAACACCAGTCCATTTCAACTCACTAATGCCTAAGATATAGATGTTTATGCATTCCATTTCATTTTTGACAACCTCCAACTTTCCTAGATTCGTACTTCGTATATTCCATGTTCCGATTTTCAATGGATATTTACAGCTGTTTCTCTTCATTTTAAACTGTGCCCCATCAGCAAATGAAGGTCCCACGGGCTTTTCTCCCATGGGCTTTATTCCATTCGCATTATCACGGTCAACTATAGTTTGAGGAGGCAGCTCTTCCCCAGTCGCATTTTGAGTGCCTTCCAACTTGAAGGGATAATTTTCCGGCACTGTATCTGACAGTGTTTCTCTGCTATTCATAAGGTTTTCAGTGACTAAATATTCTGAAGTAGTTCGTCACTCTTTCTTCCTAGTCTGTCTTAGTTTGGAAGCTCATCTGAAACCTGTCCACCATGGGTGACCCTGCTGGTATTTAAAACACCGGTGGCATAGCTTTCAGAATCACAGCAACTCACAAGCCACCACAGTATGACAAACTGACAGATGAGTGGTGGCCAAAAGTTGTTATAAAAAGAAGAAAATACATATTACTGTTCGTAAGGGCAGAGGAGGAGAGCATGGATTAGCCTCAATGAACACACAAAATACAGTTCAATCTCTAGGAATGTTTCATCAGTAATGGCATTCATGTGGAGAAAGATACACAATTCTGATACATCCCTCAGCTTCAATGTCTTTCCTACTAAACATCTAGTTGGTTAAAACATATTTATTTGCAGTCTAGACTCTTATATGTCTTCATATCCTGTATCCTGGTAGATAGTGGTGATGATTGCAGAAACCTTATACAGGGTTGCTATGAGTCAGACTGATTCCATGGCACAAAACAACAACAAATATTTTTCATACATAATCTTATTTTTAACTCATTGATTCGAAAAGCTAATTTTGTGTGTGTGTATGAGTTTCCTATGTACCAGGTCTTCTTCTAAGTGCTTAATAATATCAGGAGGCTTCAAAAAGTCTATGAAAAATAGAATCAAAAGGTACTGGAACTTTCTCATGAACTTTTTAAAAGCCTCTCATCTCTATCTACTCATTTAATCCTCACAATAATCAATACGCCCATTCAAAGAAGTGAAATGATTTGCCCAAGGTCACACAGGTAGTGTGAGGAGTGGAGGAACCTGGCTCTGAATTCAGATGTGGCTGGTGCCCAAACTCAGGCTCTTAACCCCTGCGGTAAATGGCTGCCCAGCGAATGAACGATGGGAGAGGAGAGAGAAACAGGTTTCAGTGATTAAGACTTGGCTGAGTTATGATCATTATTAATTAAGACAATGGTTTCCAAAGTGAGGGGGAATCAGAGATATCATTTTAAATGGTGCTATGGAGTCTTGGTGTGGCACTGTATGGTAAGTGCTGGAATGTTAACCACAAGGTCCTTGGGAACCCGACATAGTGTTGCTATGAGTCGGAACCGACTTGATGGCACTTCACAACAACAAGCATAGTCAATAAGGAGCCCTGGTGACACTGTGAATTAGGCATTGGGCTATTAACCTCAGTGTTGGTGTCTCAAATCCACCAACTGCTCTGTAGGTCAAAGATGAGGCTGTATATTCTTATGAAGACTGGCAGTCTCAGAAATTCCAAGAAGCACTTTTCCTCTGTCCTATAAGGTAGCTATGGAGTCCTGGTGTGGCGCTGTGGGTTAATGCACCAGACTGCAAAGCCGTTTGAACTGCACGGTTGGCAGTTCAAGCTCACCAGCTGCTCCTAAGAAACCCTATACAGGGTCGCTATGGGTCGGAACTGACTTGACAGCACTTCACAACAACAATATAAGGTAGCTATGAGTAGGAATTGACTTGGTGCCAGTGGTGGGTGAGGGAAATGTTTGGATTCAACATGATACTGCAAAGCTTTTAATTTGCTAATGTACACCAGGACTCGCCAACAAGAGATAGACACTATGAACTTTCCCAAACTTGTTTTTCAAAGGAACCCTTCTTTCTTGCCATATCACGCAGCACCAGGCTTCTTGAGTAGTCATTTCCAAACTCTTTAGATTATATATCCCCTATCTATGTTGTTGCTTTTTAAAAATTTCTTTATAAATTATGTACATTTGCTTTAGTCCCCCTGATTCAGTATTTTCCAGAGGGAATTCCTTGTTTATTACTTTCATGTGGAGAGTAATTACACTTCTAGTTTGGGGTTTGTCATCTCAGCCTTGTACAAAGCCCCTGTCTGTTGTCCACATTTCATGGCAGGCACCATATGACAGATGCTGACATTCCTTGAAGGCCAACCCAGACTTGGCTGTCATTAAACTTTACCTTTTGAAGGGGCCTTGGTTTTCGAGGTAGCACTGGGGGGGTCACATGCTGGGGGTTGCTGAGGGACGATGCAGACCTACAGCCGTTGAATTCATTTCCTTCCATGTTCTCAGAACCCTGGGTGTTTTCCGAGAGGGGATTATGTGCTGGTGACTTGGAAAAATCGGGGCTCCTCCCCACTGGCTCAGCAGCAGGTGTATCAAAGTATCCACATTGTTCTGGCCTGCATTGGAGGCAGGGGTCATAAGGGTCAGCCTGACAACAGCCCCAGGGGTCAGCCTGCCCCTTGTCTGGCTCAGAACTTCTCCAGCAATCTGCCGCCATGGCTGCAGAGATGAGGTCGGGGCTGGAACCAGGCATCTGTCTTTGAGCATGGTTGCTGAGGGGGCTCCGCAGGGCTGCTGCTGGGCCAAAGTACCTCAGGTTGTTGGCGCAGGTGGCAATGTCCTGCCCGTGCATATTGAGTCTGGGGTGTTGGCTCTGAGCGGCAGCGGCGGGAGGTGTTTGCTGGTATAGCTGCTGCAGAGGATTCTGGGGGTACTGGGAGTGAGCTTCGTGTGGATAGGTGGGATGGGCAGAGTTTTCTGGGGCTGGCTGGTTTTTCAAGATTCCGGCAAAGTCACTATGGCTGCCTCTGCTATTCCCTCGGCGGTGGCGGGGTTTGCTTCGGTATCGGCTCTTGCTGTTTGAGGTGGACATTTTGGGACTTCCGGACACAGGGGATGCAGTGGGAGGCACCTCTGTACTGGGGATACCTTCAGATCTCAACAAATCTGGCCTGGGAGAAAAGAACAGGTTGGGTTTTAAATACATGAAAACATTCAAAATTGGACAAATGTATCCTGAGCCTTAAAATATGCACACCCTTTGAATCAGCAGTCACATACACAGAAACTTACCCAGTGGGCGTACTGGGTGTGCACAAAGATGTCCTGTTAAAGTGTTGTTTAAGAGAGCAGAAAGCTGGAAACAGCCTAACTGCCTACTTTTAGAGGGCTCCTTTGATTCCTTCTGGAGTTTATTCTGTACCTCACATGCCTTGGGGCTCAGTTCCCTTTATGCTCTCCCTCAGACTGCCAAGTTGTTAGGTAGGTGGCATAGATGTTTCCCTGAGATCAGAAATGACGGACTGGGGCAGATCCCATCATAAAGGAAAGTATCTGCTACCAGGAAGGAAATCTTAGCTTCATTAGGCAAGAGGCTAAATTCAGGGTATTTAGTCTGGACATGGTGTCTTGAAGGCTGGGACTATGTTGTATCTGTTTTTGTATGTGAAGCACATTAGCAAGGGGTCTTGCTCACTGTAGGTACTCAATAAATGTTTAAGGAAGGAGGAAGACTGGAGAGGGCAGAGTAAGGGCGCATAGCTGCGAGCCCAGCTGAGCCAGCAAGAGAAAAGGCTAGTAAAGGTCAACATTGGATTATACTTCAATCCTGGGATGGAGGAGGGCCTTTTTGCAAGGGTCCTCATGGCCAGTCCTGCAGGCAGCTTGCAGGAGGAAGCCAGAGACCTGAAGGCAAACCTGGCCCACACGGAGAACTGGCTGAGTTATGATAGCTATTAAGTTTCATGTTATGGGTCTAGTGGTGAGGATTTTCATTTTCCTGACACTGAAGTGCAACCCATACTGAAGGCTGTGGTCTTTGATCTTTATCAGTGTTTTAAGTCCTCTTTGCTTCCAGCAAGCAAGTGTGTCATCTGCATATCACAGTTTGTTAATGAACCTTCCTCCAATTCTGCTGCCATATTCTTCTTCATATACTACAGTTTCTAGGATTATTTTCTCAGCATAGCATATAGATTGAATACCCCTGTATGCATGGATATCTATCTGTATGCTGAGCAAATAATTCCAGAACCTGGAATATATGAAGAGGAGAGAAGCATCAGGATTAGAGGAAGACTCATTAACAACCTGCAATATGCAGACGATACAACCTTGCTTGCTGAAAGTGAAAAGGACTTAAAATACTTACTGATGAAGATTAAAGACCACAGCCTTCAGGATAGATTTCACCTCAATGTAAAGAAAAGAAAAGTCCTCACAACTGGACCAATAAATAACATCATGATAAAAGGAGAAAAGATTGAAGTTACCAAGGACTTCATTTTACTTGAACCCACAATCAACACTTAGAAAAGCAGCAGTCAAGAAATCAAATGATGTATTGCATTAGGCAAATCTACCGCACAAGACCTCTTTAAAGTGTTGAAGAGCAAAGATATCAGTTTGAGGACTAAGGTGCACCTATCCAAGCCATGGTATTTCCAATACCCTCATATGCATGTGAAAGTTGGACAATGAATAAGGAAGACCACAGAAGAATTGATGCATTTGCGTTGTGGTGTTAAAGAATAATATTTACGGTACCATGGGTTGCCAGAAGAACAACAACAAAAAATCTTTTGGAAGACGTACAGTCAGAATGCTCGTTAGAAGCAAGAGTGGTGAGACTTCATTTCTTATACTTTGGGCATATTAGTAGGAGGGATGAGTACCTGAAGAAGGACATTATGCTTGCTGAAGTCAAGGGTCAGCAAAAATGAGGAAGACTCCCAATGAAATGGACTGGCACAATGGCAGTAGCAATGGGTTCAAGTGTAACAAAAATTGTGAGGATGGCACAGGACTGGGCAGTGTTTTGTTTTGTTGTGCATAGGGTTATGAGTTGGAACAGACTTGACAGTACCTAACAACAACAACAACATAGTAGAAAGACCACCATTCTGATAGACTTAAAATGCATTCTTGGTTTGTGTTTTCTTATTAGCTTTATTTTTATTGCATTTAGAGAGAGCCTCATTCAGATTTAGGGACATTTCTTTCCTTGATGCTAATTTAGCTAGAAGAGAACCAATTCTCCATTATCTAGTAAAGTTTGGCAATGAAAATGGACTGAAAGAGTCTAAGGTTAACCTAACCTAATACAAGGAATGTAAGTTGTAACTAAAAGAAAACACAGTCTTTTTTCAAGTATTCAAAAACTCATTTTTTGAGCACATAGAAAAAGCATTTGACCACAATACTAGTTTGAATTGTAATGTTCAATCTCACCAGCCAGTCTTGGAAACCCTATACAAGGTTTCAATGGGTTGGCACTGACTTGATGGCACTTAACAACAGCAATGATTTTCTAGGTGCTTTCATATACGAGGGGGCTCTGATAGCGTAATGGTTACGAATAGGGCTGTGAACCGCAAGGTCATCAGTTTGAAACTACCAGCTGTTCCACGGGAGAAAGATGAGGCTTTCTGCTCCTGTAAAGATTTAAAGCCTCGGAAACCCCGTGCAGGGTCGCTATGAGTCGGAATTGACTCCACGGCACATAACCAACCAACCAACCAACCAACCAGAAAGTTCAGTGAAAAATTAAACAGAAAGATAATGGAATTTTCCAACAAATTTTAAAAAGCCCACTCATATATTGTCTTATTTAAATTTCACGAAAGTCCCACAGAGGGGTGGGATGAGGGAAACTATATAGCTAGATCAGGGCTTTGAACTGGTTCCATCAGGCCGACAGAGTGAAACAGAAAAGATCTGAATTTCAAAATTTTGGGTGAAGCAGAATGATAACTAGAATGGGAAAGATCATGGGTAGAAACCCTGGAATGTGTCAAGACTCGGAAGAGGCATAGCAAGCCATTTCAGGAGCCTGATGCAGAAGAACGGATTCTTGCAGGACTGTGGAGAATGATAGGGATATTGAGAGTAGAGGAGTTGGCCATTTCTGAGCAGGCACTAGTGTTTCAGCCTCTATCGTTTGAGAGATTTGGTTGCTCTGCAGTGCGCACGCTGCCCTTGTTTTCAGAGAGGGAGGTTGTTTCCAGCAGGGCATCAACCCTTAATTTCCCTCATTCTAGTTAACTGTTCAAGGAGCTCTGGTAGCATAGTGGTTATGAATTGGGCTGCTAACCTTAAGGTCAGTAGTTTGAAACTACCAGCTGTTCCGCGGGAGAAAGATGAGACTTTCTGTCCCTGTAAAGATTTACAGCCTTGGAAACCCTGTGCAGGGTCACTATGAGTTGGAACCGACTCCATGGTACTTAACAACAACAGTTACTGTTCAGATTTACCCACATTTTACAACTTCAGGCCTGTTCTGGTTTCGCTTCATCAGCCATGACTGATCTGCGATGAACTGGTTGTAAGTCCTGGGCTAGATTTAGACAATTGTCAAAAGCCCTGTTTTTTAACTTGTAAGAATATTTATTATTTTTGTTGTTATTTTGGTGAAAATAAACACAGTCATACATCATTCCAACAATCAGTGACATTGATTACATTCAAGTTGTACAAACATTCTTGCCATCTTCCTGCGAACTGTCCTGCCACCAGTAACTTAAACTCACAACTCCCTACACTTCTGGTCTGACCTTTTGAGTTGTTGTTGTCAATTCGATCTCATGTAATGAGAATTCTTTTAAAGAACACGATGCTCAGTGCAGACACAATTATTAGATAAATTGTTTTTTTGATTCAAAGAAGACTTCAGGGGATTGTTTTGGTTCAAAGTCTCTACTTTTGATTTTGGTGGTGGGCTTATAGGTATGTATTACATTATTAAAAATAACTAATTTGATGAATAAATAAAAGTGGGTTATGCATGAGCCAGTGTGTCATAAATCAAGAATGATGATTAACCTAATTCTGGGCACTAACGCGCCCAGTGCCATCAAACCAATTCCCACTCACAGTGTCCCTCCAAAACAGAGTAGAACAGCTCCTTAGGGTTTCCGAGGCCGCAAATCTTTATGGAAGCAAACAGCCTCCCCTTTGCGTTTTGGTTTATTTAGAAGTAAGTGTGCCAGTTCTGAGTTATAGAAGTGGCCATGTCTACCCTCATCTGACAATGTGTCATCCTAAGGCGGGCTGTTCCCTCCCCCTGGACCTCTACTACTTTCATCTGAACACAAGGTCGGCTCAGATGCCTCACCGTCTGGTCTGCATCCCGGGCTTGTGGGGCGTGCCTTTCCTTTTCATGAGTCTCTCCATGGCATTGGGGTGGATTATTGGTCGGACAGGATGTCGTTTGTAGGTACCAGGATACTTCTTTTCCACTGCCTGCTCACGCCTGCAGAATGATAGAAAAAGACATCTCCGTCACCACAGCCAGAAACGATAGCAGAATGTTTTAACCCTCAGATTCTGTCTATATATTAACAGATAAAGGCAATCTGAACAGCAAGGCTGGCTGTTCAGGTGTGAAATGGGGTGGGAGAGAGAGGACACGAATTTCAAATTAACCTGACTTTATTCTGCTCTTCAACTCAAATGGCCTCAGAGGCTCTTTCCCAACATACCTTGTGGGGAACACAATATACTGACAGGTGTCCCTCTTATTTTTGGTTAGAAACCTAGGGTTTTCTTGCCACCATAAAGAATAACTCCACTCATGGTGCACATCCCCTCCCTTAAGGAATGTGGGACGAATGAATGAAATATCTGCCAGGTATGGATAGCAGCAACATAGAAGGGTAAAACATTTCTGCTGACTGATGACCCAAATCAATCAGGACAGACACTGGTCTGAATACATACTTAATGAGCTCCTTCTCACGCATTTCTAGCTGCAGCATGATGGCACTCAGTTCCATGTATAAATTATTAGCCCGCTCAAGTTTCCTCTCATAGTGCTCACGAATATCCAAAGCATGCCTATCAAAGAAAACACTGGATTAGTGTAGCAGACCAACTTGGGGAGAATGAAGGTCAGCTTTAATGAAATAGGAAACAAATGTTGCTGTTGTTGTGAAGTGCCATTGAGTCAGTTCTGATTCATAGCGACTCTGTAAGGGGTTTCCAAGGAGCTGGTGGGCTTGAACCACCGACCTTGTGGCCAGCAGTTCAGTGCTTGTCCTACAATGACACACCAGGCCTCCAAGAAAAAACTGGCTTGCGTCAAAAGCATTTGTCCGAGGGCCCTCTAAATCTAAGGTTTCTTCATTTGATGCAGTAACTTGGAGCAGCTGATGGGAAAGACAAGCTCTCCACTTGGTTTATCCTTAAGGGCCACATCCTGTCATACAAGATAGCCAGAAGAGCCACAAAGAAAACCTGCATGTGATTTGTGTATCATTTGCAGCCTTTGTTCGCAGAGTCCCCACTGATCTTTTTAGCCTTGTTTACCAACCTAGAAATGACTTTTGGAATCAATATCCTAATAAAAGCACAGTACAATACAATCATATGTTGATGGTAACATGCAGTTAAAGCTGACACCATCATCAGACATTTATACTTAACCACGGGAGTCCTGGTGTGGCGCTGCAGCATCAGCACTGGAATGCTAACTAACCACCTTGGAAACCCTATGCAGGGTTGCTATTAGTCAAAACTTACTCAATGGCACCTAACAACAACATGACACAGATAATGCCTGATCTAATGTTGTGGTTATCTGTGCCCATGTTTAGTTGTATCCCCTAATGGATTATAAGTAATCTGAGGCCACGGACTAAATATTATGCATTGTCTGGCCTTCCATGGCACCTATAAGTCTTGGTGTGGTAGTGCAGGACAATGCACTGGACCGAAAGGTCAGTTTGAACTGCAAGGTCAGCAGTTCAAACTCACTAGGCGCTTCTTGGAAAGCCTACATAGGGTTGCTATGAGTTGGAACCGACTCAACAGCACTTAACAACAACAAATGGCACCTAGGACAGTAGCTGAATGAACAAAGAGAATTTCCCTAGGAATCTTCGTTATAAAAGAGTTGGGAGGAGAGGATACAAAGAAGGAACGACTTTTAAAGCAACTTTTAAAGAGCCTGCACTGTGGGATAAAGCACTGGACCACAAGGTCGGTTTGAACCACAAAGTTGGTGGTTCAAACTCACCAGATGCTCCTTGGAAACCCTATACAGGGTCGCTCTGAGTCGGAACCGACTTGATGGCACTTAACAACAACAGTAAACAATGAAGGAGAAAGGTGTGTAGAAAGCCAAATGGTGATTCACAATCAAAGAGGATTCCTGATACTATCTGAAGACCTGGGCTAAGAAGGGGGAGATCAGCTGACCTGAGCTCTTCTCTGCGTCTTCGAATCAGTTCTTCATCTAAGCGGTGTATACAAGTTCCTTCACTTTTGATCTTCTCGAAGTGTTTTTTCACTTCTTCTCTCCATTCAGCCTGGGTGAGCACAAATTAGATTTTGTTACTATTTTAAGAACTTCAATCCCTGGTATACCTAGGATAATGTACAAGACTTTTCCCCTGTGTGTGGTTCTACTGAAAAGCTTTATTCAGAATAGATTTTCAACAACTATTTGTTGATTGATACCTAATATCTCAAGTGAGTGTAGCTGCAAACTCAATACCATTTTCTGCATTTCTAGTCCAATATACAACACTGCCTCTTTTCCAGTTCCCTGCAGCACAGACCACCAGAAACATCAGAGCTGGCACACTGGCATCTCTTTTGGAAAACACAGCTCAATGCAAGTCAATACAGTGGCTGCAATTGCCTGGCTAAGAAAAGCCGCTCTGCTCTCCACATGGGTATATGCATGTGTCTGTGAGATTATAATCATCTTTATAACTGGCTCCAGAATCCTTTCTTCCTAGCTTTTGTTTAGGAAAACAGATTGAGAAAATATTTGGAGAATAAGACCCCATGGGTACGAACAGCAAGGGATGTGCATAAAAAATAATAGGAAACTATGCAGGAATTTTGGGGTGAGGGAATGGACAGAAAAGAAAGAGAAAGGAGGTGAGAGCTAGGGTATCACCAAGTAATTTATGGTTCAACCAAAATTTTAGGACAGGGATGGATGTTTAACAACCATACAAAGGGACTACCACTTGTCTGTCAGTTTGTTGTACTGTGGTTTGTGAGTTGCTGTGATTCTGGAAGCTATGACAAGGATGTTTTAAATACCAGAGGAGAACTGAAAGTACCACGGGCTGCCAAAAGAATAAACAGATCTATGTTGGAAGAAGTACAGCCAGAGTGCTCCTTGGAGGCCAGAATGGCCAGACTTTGTCACTCATACTTCGGACATGTTGTCAGAAGTTACGAGTCACTGGAGAAGGATATCATGTTTGGTAAGGTGGAGGGTCAGAGAAAAAGAGAAAAACCCCTATCAAGATGGATTGGCAAAATGGCAGCATCAATGGGCTCAAGCGTGGCAACAATTGTGAGGTTAGCCCAGGACTGGGCAGTGTTTCATTGTGTTGTGCATAGGGTCACTCTGAGTCAGTACCCACTGGATGGCACCTAACAACAGTAACATACGAAGGGAAGAGGGAAGATTGGAGGTGAAAGACCTTGGATCTATCTTGAAGTATAACGCTGTCTGTGACACGATAATATCCATATACCTACAAGGAAAACCAGATAATACCACTATTATTCAAATTAACACCCAACCACTAAAGCCAATGGTGATGAAATTGAAGAGTTCTACCAACTTCTTCAGTCTGAAACTGATCAAACATGCAATCAAGAAGTATTGATAATCACTGGTAATGGAATGCAAAGGATGGAATCAAAGAGGAAGGATCAGTAGTTGAAAAATATGATCTTGGTGATAGAATCAATGCTGGAGATCACATGACAGAATTTTGTAAGATCAATGACAACTTCTTTTTTTAAAACTACATAAGAGAGGACTATACACACAGAACCTCACCAGATTAAATACACAGAAATCCAACTGACTACATCTGTGGGGAGAGAATATTATCAGTCAAAACAAGGCTGGGGCGGACTGGAACAAACCATCAATTCAGGTTCAGGTTGAAGCTGAAGAAAATTAAAAAGTCCACGGGAGCCAAAATATGACTTTGAACATAGCACACCTGAATTTAGAGATCATCTGAAGAACAGATTTAATACATTAGACACTAAAGACCGAAGACCAGAAAAGTTGTGGGATGACATCAAGAACATATACAGGAAGAAAGCAGAAGGTCATTAAGAAAACAAGAAAGAAGGAAAAGACCAATATGAATGTCAGAAGAGACTGTGAAACTTGCTCTTCAGTGTAGAGATGCTAAAGCAAATATAAGAAATGAGGAAGTAAAAGAACTGAATAGAAATTTTCAAAGGGCAGATCAAGAAGACAAAGTCAAATATTATAACAAAATGTACAAAGTCCTGGAGTCAAAAAACCAAAAAAGAAGAACACACTCAGCATTTCTCAAGCTGAGGGAACTGAAGAAAAAATTCAAGCCTCAACTTGTAATACTGAAAGATTCCATGGGCAAAATATTGGATGATGCATCAAAAAAAGATAGAAGGAAGAAGAAATTGTCAGTGTTTAACCTTTCAAGAGGTAACATATAATCAGGAGCCAATGGTACTGAAGGAAGAAGTCCAAAGTGTATTGAAGGCATTAGCAAAGATCAAGGCTCACGGAATTGATGGAATACATACTGAAATATTTCAACAAACTGATGCAGGACCTGAAGTAACTCACTCATCTACCAAGAAATTTGGTATGTTGATTGGAAGAGATCCATATTTGTGCCCATTCTGAAGAGAGGTGACCCAATGGAATGTGGAAATCATTGGACAGTATCATTAATATCACATGCAAGTAAAATTTTGCTAATGATAATCCAAAAATGACTGTAACCATACACTGACAGAGAACTTCTAGAGGTTCAATCTGGATTAAGAAGAGGACGTGGAACAAGGGATAACATTGCTGACATCAAATGGGTCTTGGCTGAAAGCAGAGAATATCAGAAAGATGTTTACCTGTGCTTTATGGGCTACACAAAGGCTTTCGACTGTGTGGAACATGACAAGCTAAAGATAATATTTCAAAAATAAGTATTCCAGAACACTTAATTCTGCTCATGAGAAAACTGTACCTAGACTAAAAGGCAGCTGTTCAAACAGAACATGGTCACTGAATGGTTCAAAATCAGGAATGGTGTGTGCCAGGGTTGTATTGTTCCATCATACTTACTCAGTCTGTATCCTGAGCAAATAATCTGATAAACTGGATTATATGACGAAGAACGTGGCATCTGGATTGGAAGAAGACCCATTAACAACCTGCAATACGCAGATGATACAACCTTGTTTGCTGAAACTGAAGAGGACTTAAAATACTGATGAAACTCAAAGATCACAACCTTCAGTATCGATTGCTTCTCAATGTAAAGAAAACAAAAATTCTCACAACAGGACCAGTAAATAACATCATGATAAATGGAGAAAAGGTTAAAGTTGTCAAAGACTTCATTTTGCTTCATTCCACAATCAACACTCAAGGAAGCAGCAGTCAAGAAATCAACGAGACGTGTTGCATTAGGTAAATCTACTGCAAAAAAACCTCTTTAAAGTGTTCAAGAGCAAAGATGTCAGTTTGAGGACTAAAGTGCACCTGACCCAAGCCATGGTATTTTAAATAGCCTCATATGCATGTGAAAGTTGGACAATAAAAAAGGAAGACCATAAAGGATTTAATGCATTTGAATTATAGTGTTGGAGAAGAATAGTCAAAGTACCACGGACTGCCAAAAGAACATTCAAATCTGTGTTGGGAGAAGTACAGCCAGAATGCTCCTTGGAGGCCAGGATGGCCAAACATCGTCTCTCAAACTTCAGACATATTATCAGGAGAAGGTCATCAGTTTTGGTACAGTGTAGGGTCCCTGGAGAAGGTCATCATGCTTGTTAAAATGTAGGGTCAACTAAAAAGAGGAAAACCCACAATGAGATGGCTTGGCACAGTGGCAGCAGCAATGGGCGCAAGTATGAGCATGGCGCAGGACTGGGCAGTGTTTCGTTCTGTTGTGCTATGGGTTGACACCCACTAGATGGCACCTACCACCAACAACAAAACTACTCTTATCATATTTGTTGTTGTAGTTGTTAAATGCTGTTGAGTTGGTTCTGACTCACAGAGAACCTGTGTAAGATTTCCAAGGAGCGGCTCATGGGTTTGAACAACTAACCTTTAAGTTAGCAGTCCAATGCTTATCCTTACAACACCATCCCAGAACTTCCTATTACATTTAGACTTGTGTTCAAATGTATATCTAGATTATTGAGGACAATATAGAAGGTTAAGTGCCTCTGAGTTCGTTTTGACAAATTGCGACCTTGTACAGGATTTCTGAAGCTATTTAAATCTTTGCAGGAGCAGAAAGCCTCATATATCACAGTTATTTAGAAAATGATGATCTTGTTTCTCTGTTTGTGATAAGCTGTATATTTACATGTATGTTGACCATCAGAGAGAAGCTTTTCTCAGTTGGTTGACTTTTAAGCACCAAAGTTTTTCAACAACACCATCAGAAGGATGTACTTCTGCTATAGTGTGGTAGCAGCCTTTGATATCATCTAAGAGTCTTGGCGTGGCGCTGCAGGATAATGCACTGGACTGTAAGGTCAGTTTGAACCTCAAGATCGGCAGTTCAAACTCACCAATTATGCCTCAGAAGCCCTATACAGAGTTGCTATGAATCGGAACTGACTCAACGGCACTAAACAACAACAACAAGAAGTGTAAATACAGGTTTGATCAGAACTATGAAGTAGGAAGAGCATTTGCGCTTTAAGAGGCCAAAGAATGATGCAAGAGTTGTTGATGAAAAAAGAATAAGGGAGAGACAGTCAGCTATGGGCTTTAAGCTCTGCAAAACATGTCAGTACATCCTAGTTCAAGGAGTGACTTTAATAAAAAAATAAAAAAGGAAGGCAAGGAATCAGAGATCACAGAGCAGATGATTTTAATTCTAGAGAAAATAAACCTCCTGAAATCTATGGTTATGGGAAAGTAAGATGGTTATGGGAAAGTAAGAGAACCTGCTGAAGACTGAAGTCTGGAAGGAGGTTGTTAGCTCCCACCAAGGTGGCTCCAAGTCATGACAACCCCATGTACAATAGAACAAAATGTTGGCATCTTCACAATCACTGGTATGCTCGAGTCCAATATTGCAGCCACTGTGCATGGTAAGTGTCTTCCAACCTCGGAGGCTCATCTCCCTGCACTACAAAGAACAATATTCTTTTGTGATCCTTTAGATTTCATGGGCTAACTTTCAGAAGTAGATTGTCAAACCTTTCTTCCTAATGTCTGAGTCTGGAAGCTCCACCAAAGCCTATCCATTATGAGTGGCCCTGCTGGCATTTGAAATACGGGTGGTACGGTAATAATCAAAATAGCTTG